GAAATTCCTGAGCCTGAAGTTTCACAACGAACCGAGCTAATACTCGACTGCTAATTTCATTAGATCTGGCAAAGTGTTAATGCTACAAACTGGCCAACTTCTAAGACACGACCGCAGTTGCGCGACGACGCTTGTTCGGAGGATGAAACTCGAGGAAAATAATTATAATCGGATGAGATATTCCTTGGAAACGGAACAGCTGTATACCACGAGTTGTGGAAACTGTTTGCACGCTCGAGCACGCTCAAAAATGGATTCGACGAGTAAATGTGAGAGATTCGAATCGAAAGCGAGATGGAAGCGGAAATTGCTGGATTATTCGATTAGTAAAATCGTTCGCCTTCTTCTTTCCTCGTGAACGTTACGTGGAAACGAGTCGAATTTTCAATGAATGTTTGGATCATTATGATTTCTTGATCTTTTTTCCAATTGTTATAATATCTCGTTTCGTGATTTCATTCAAATGGAATATTTTATTACATTATTCTGAGGGATATCGCGTGATATTTTTATTAACGCAATGGAAGAAATGTTAAATTTATATTCGTGAATTAACGTGGACACGTATTGTTAAAAAGAGATGAGAATTGTAAAAATTTTCTTTCATCAGAAAAATCGAGATAAAATGAAAAAGGATAGAACGAAAGCAACTTATCAGTCATAAATTGATTATATTCGTACATTGTCAAGAGAGGATTCACAAGAAATTTTCGTTCGATGATAAAGAAGATTGAGATTGAAAATCAAAAAATGAAAAATTAATCACAAGTTAAAGTAAATTATAATCACAAATTAATATATAGGTTATGCATATTATAGAAAATTTCTTTTAACAACTTTTAACAAGAGTTTGAAGAGATTTTTATTAATTAAAGGAAAAAATTTTTCGATCCGGATCGTTTTCGTGCTTTTCAATTTTTAATTAGCAGAAAAGATTATCACTGCGAACGTGAATTTAATTCGAAAAAGAGATCGTAAAAGGGAAGTTGAAAGACGACTTGTCTAAGACTTCGTTTCAGATTATGCCACTGTAGATCTTCTTCTCTGGTTTTTCAAAACGACAAAGTAAAAATTTTATTGCCTCGTGCACTTTGCTTCGTACTTTACCTCGTACTTCTACGTAATCTTCCGCGCCTCGAAAGCGCATCCCGTTATGCGAAGTATACCCTTTTAAGTATCTTTCTGGAATCCAGAAGTTGGATAAGAAACGGAGGAAAATAAGAAGTTGCTTTCCACGACGTTTTACCACGAGGTTGGATGGCTTTAATTCGTGACCGAGTCGAAGAATGATAAATGGCGACACTCTTCTCAATTTTTTTCTTTTTTTCTTTCTCGCCTTTGTTTCGTCTTGCCGTATTCCTCTTTTGTGAAATCCAGTTTTCCTCGATTCGAAACGAGGAAAAAAGTTCCTTCCTAAGTTTTCTAAGTTTTTGAAGTAGCGAGAAAGTGTGTATTTTTATTCAAAATCCGCCGTAATTTCTTTCTTCCTCTCTGTTTTACAGAGAAACAAGTTGAGGGGGACGTGAATGTAAATTAAGAGGCAACGGGTAGAGGAAAAGTAACTAGTTTTCTCAACCGGTTAATTCTTTCTCTTTCTATCGAATCACAAATGATCGAAAAATGAAATGCTAGTGACTCTCAGACGTGAAGTATAAAAGTCCATATATAGTGGGGATAATTTTATGAACCAATCACTAATATGCTACTTACCTTCCATTATCGAATCACTCGATCAAAAAATGGAATGCTAATTATTTTCAGAATTAGAAAAATATAGCAGAAAAAATGGTTTCAATAATTTACAATCCATATAGTATGGATCGAATATTTCTGATTCATTATAATTGAGTGAAGTGAAAGAAAAGTAACTAGAAATCGTAGACTACAAAGTATGGAGATAGAGAATAACTAGAAAGACAAGTGTGACTGTAAATTGAAATGGTGGGGAGAGTCGCTAATTGATTCGACAGAGGTTGTATAGTTCGGTCTACGGCTATCGAAGCGCCCCGAGCGGTCTTCTTCCGCAAAGTATTCGATTGAAAAGTTTCGTACAGAACTTGAACCCATATTCTCGCTTCTTGTCACCGCCTCGATAGTTTGGGGTAACGTCAAAGTGAGCGACAATAGTGATTGTCGATAAGTGGAAACTTGGTGGAAATTGATAGAATTCTCTGATCGATGTGCAATGCAAGTTGATACATTTCAACAAATAGACAAATGTTTTTTTAAAATTCAATTCGACAATGAAAAATAAATTCGAAAAATCTCGAATTTCTCTTCGTTTCTCTCGATGATATTAGCATAGATCGATGCGAAATAATGTGAACAGTGTTTGGACAGGGAAGTTTCGAGGAAGTTTCGCAATGGTTGGAGGGGATTCGATGGAAAAAGTTGGGACTTCTGTTCGCGGTACCGGTACTCGAGTATTTGATAAACGATTCCTCTCTCTCTGGTCCGGTTTCTACCAGAAACTTTCGTTTTTCGAGCAGAACACGGAACGAACGGAGAGCCGGTGGTGGTAACTCGACTAGGAAACTCGTGCATTCGATTCATTTGCATGCGTTCCACGTACACGACACACGACTAGATTTTCACTTGGAATTTAAGACTCGATTTACACAGACGACACCGGTCATAATGTCGTTAGAGCTCGGTCACACTACATTTAAAGTGATAATCGATTTTCTTCAAAAACTCGTCGAGGATTTGGAGATTTTTCTTGAGGACGTGGTGTGTTTTCAGAATTACGAAATATTTAAACTATTAATATTCAATTTAAGCATTAATTTTTCTTTGAATTAATTAATTTCAAATTTCACTTCAAGTTCGCAGATGTGAAATTTGCAATTTATTTCCGCACGATCCAATCGAGTATTCGAAATGTGTACATGAAAGTGTGTGAATTACAACGTGAGATTCTTTTTTTTTCTTAAATATTTAATCTTCCATAAAACTTAACGATTAAACTGCATAATTTTCTAGATATCCACGGGATAAGAAATTGCGTTAAAAAAAGGAGGATTAGACTTTGCTTTAGACGTTGAAATATTCAATTTTCATGAAACAATCCTCTAACATTTTTTCCAATTTCATCCGCCATTTCGAGGCAAGGTTATACCGGCTCGAATTAATCATCATGAAAGAGGATTGGATAAAAATCTCATCCTCTCTGCCTATGGATCGCTGGTGTAAATCATATTTCTTTATATGTACGTCATACGTAAGGTACCTGAAATTCATTTACAAAAAAAAAAAAAAA